GGAAACAATACTATACAAGTTTGGCGTTACAAAACACTTGAATTCATACGCGTCATTAATGATAACCCGGATACACCTGAAGAACCTCATGAAAAGTTCAAAGTTAATAAAATTAGATATGGTGTAAAAAAATTTGATCTTTCAATTAGCAAATTAGAAGAAGAAGGAAAAGAAAAAGAAATTCGAATAAAAATAGAACATGAGGATGACACTATCCAAGTAGTAATGGATGCGATTAAAGCACTTGTATATTTAGATAGTCAAAGTAAATCCGTTAATCTTGCAGTTAGTGGCAAGCGTATAACATTTAATGAATTAGTACAACAAACTAAAAATATTATAATAAGGTTTATTACTTTGTATCCGAATCCTTGGAGATTAATAGATTTTCGTCATGAGCTAATGATATCATTTATTAAGCTAAAAGATTATATACTTATAACTCGTATCTTGTTTAATAAAAAAAATGGATCGAGTGACGAATCCGAAAAATGTATTTTACAAATTCTTTCTACGGTCTCAAATGATAAAGAAAATGATATCAGAACTAAATTAAGAAGCATTATTTCGAAATATTCCTCAAAAAATAATAAAAATAAAAAAGAGCGTCCTCTCCATTCATGGCTAGTTCCATTGAAGAAGGAAGAGTTGGGGATGTTACCTGATGAAGGTTAGTCATTCAAAGATCGAAATATGCATATAATACGTATGTATATATGAAAGTTATGGAATATATTAACATATATAACATAAATATATATTTCTTTAAATATTTTTATTATATGTTCAGATACGAATACCGACGTGACATTGCTAACATTTTTCCTAGAATATTATTCCAATAACGCAATGGAAAACATTGGATGGATGAATGTTGTGTCCGAAATCATATCAGAATTATATGATAGGAAGTTTGGTTTGTTATTAACATTTGCCAAATTTCAAATTTCAAATTCAATTTTATAGATTTTATAACAAGTAATTTATTCAATATAATTTCAGGGTGGTATGCTCAAGAATTTTATTACAAGCCTTGCTTTGGTAGAAAAGAGCTTGATTTGTCTAGTATGAAGTTTCATAAGATTGAGAAACATTCCGAAAATTCTTTAAAAGTTTATATACCTATAACACAACTTATTCCTCACCAAAAAGAATTTGAACTTGTTAAGATTAGGTAGCATTCTATTTTTAATTTAAAATAAAAATTGGTAAATAAAAATAGTACGTATTTAATAATTTTATTTTTTTAAAAAAAATTTTAGTGATGATGAAATTCCTTATATTAGAATGGTACCTATGATTGATTTCTCAACGAATAGAGAATTTTTGGATCCAAAAGATAAGGTTAAACAAACACTTTCAAGACTTTTCTTACCTGGAAAATGTTCATCTATTAAAAAGGAAAATTATAGCCCTTTTATCAGAATTTTACATTATATGGAAGATACAGATCAATTTTATAATAACCCTTCAATGGAAGCCGTTATGAATTGGATGTGGTATTCTTCTAAATCTCATTGGCACCATACTTTACAAATTTATATTGTATACCTTTTTTCATATTCGATTCTTTCCTGGGCATTTATTGCTCATCTCGAGGTCACTGGGTTCTTTCATTTCCCAATGATCTTAGTTATGATGCTATTTTATTATTTGGCTTACTATCATTTTATAATTGAATTTTTTCAATTATTATTTCATAAGAAAAAATATATACTAGATGCTTTTAACTGGATGGATAATATTGCTATTTTTTTACCTGTTATCCTCTCCTTTTATTTTTTGTTTGGTCATTATCGTATAGATTATGGCTTTAAAAATGCAGAAACTACTCAAGTAACAGTATTCATTGTCTTTATGAGCATTGTATTTCTTTGGTGCGAATTGGTATGTAAACATATTCATAATATGAAATATGTGGATTTAGTAAATTATTAAAAAATTCTTTTATTATTCGTAGTTCTTGTTATTGCGTATTTTCCCAGGTATGTACGACTCTAATACCTTTTTGATCAATAAAGTAATCTTCAACAATCTAAATAAATTTGAGTTTTTATTTAGGATTTGCCAATTACCTCAATATAATATTATATATTATAATATCAATTAAAACATTTTTAATTTTTTATGCTTTATCGATTATTGCTGTGGTAATTAAAATTTTTAATTAATGAAGTCATTAAAATTATTAAAATTAAATTATATAATTAATATATATATATATATATATATTACTTAGGGACATTCTCTGTAAGTGTTTCGTTATTTATTAATCGAATTTATTAATCTTATTAATCGTATTTATTAATCTTATTAATCGTATTTATTAATCGTATTTATTTATTTTAATCGTATTTATCAAAACATTATCTAATGTATTTTAAAAATAATTTAATACAGATTTATTCTTCTTGGGTTTCCATCATACATATCATTAAGCCAAGCACCAGATAGTTATGACGTTGTGGGCACAAATTCGAATGAATCAGTTTATAATATGGTTGGAGAAATACCTGATAATCCATTTTCGAATCTGCTTAGTGCTATAGTTGCTGTATATAATTGGGATTCAATTCCATTGGATACTTGGGATTTTTGGCCCCTTGTTGTTATTAATATTATTGGTGGCTTTCTTTTTGTTATGATATTGTCAAATATAATTATTTCATTTATGGGGTATGTATAATTTACCTTTTTTTTTTTTTTTTACCTATAATTATTTTTAATTTTTATTAAATTTTTATTGATAATTTTTTCACAAATAAAGTAACGCATTCTCAAATGCGGAAAGAGACAGTAGACACGGTGTGCTCTTACTTCAAAAAGAATTAATTTATGATTATGCAGTCCTCGAGGGATCTTCTCTTACTTCTAAAACAAATATCTTTGATACTTTATTTAATGACAAGTTACGTGTAAGGTATATATGTTTCTTAGATGAAGAAGAACTTACAAAAACATGGAATGAGAAATCAGATGAATTAGGTTCAAGATGGTTGGATGCTTATGGGTTTCATTTTAAAGATAAAGATGCTGAGGATGAAGATGATATTGAAGAAGTTGATTTTATTTGGACTCAGGATAAAAATGATGAACAAGAGGATTAAGTACTAGAAAAAAAATGGACCAATATACAAATTGTTTAAAAAAAATAGTTTAGTATAGATTTTTAAAATTTAGATTTCCTATTATTTAATTATAAACTTTTATTAAATAAAAAAAACTTTTCACAGAATTTATTTTTGCCACCTTGGTCACTTTTATTGAATGTAGCCTATTATTGGTGGTTGAAATAATAAGTAAAGCAGAATATTACATTCTTTGATAATATATAGATTCATTAATGATTCTTATAATTCATTTTAAATTTTTACTTATATTAATAATTTGCAGTAAGCTAAAAAGATTCTTTAAACTTGGCATTATTCCGATGATAGCCTATAGTAAATTCTGCGGACCTCTATTTTAATAACTGTTAACAACTTTTTATTGTATGTAAGCTCAAGTTCGGAATAACCTGTAAATTTGTAAATTTTATAGGTTAAATAACATTAATGAATAATTTGTATTCGCAAAAAGCCATAATTTATTGTTGATATCATAATCATAACGATAACAAATAAGACAAATACGTAACAATAAAATAATATTCTTAAAAAATAAAATAACTACAAATCTCTTATGCTATAAAATTTACTGCTCTTTCTATTTAAAACCAATTTTTAATTCGTATAACCATCGATACTTTGTCAATATACTAAAAGAAACAGTTTAAGCAAACGAGAATAAATTGATTACTTTTTAATTTGAAATACCTCAAATTCATCTACTGAAAAATATGAATTTGAATTTCGAATTGGTTTTTCATATGACTTAATCCAACTAAAATATTGTTGACCTATATTATATTGACTGTTCATCCCAAGATCAGTACCGTTACCGAATAGTGGACCATAATTTGGTGCACAATAGATTGCACATTCTGGATATTTTACACGACTTAAAATAGAATTTGGAATGTTACCATTTTTCAACGAAAAAATAAAGCATTCATCACATCTTTTATGCCCATAATATGATTGATTCCATTCAATAGGATTATATCCACCAAGAATTTCATCAGTACCCCTAACTTTCATGATTATAATTGTGTTTGCTTTCCTATCACATAAATTCCAAAACGTAACATTAGTGAAACCATCTCTACTTCCACGAAAAAGTAAATCAAAATCATATGGATTGTTTGTTGAATTATATTGAATATCTCTTTTATCAATCCATGAAGCAATTTCAGCTGCATGTTCTTTGGTAATAATTTTCGAAAATTGTTCTGTTAATCTAGATGGTAATTTTCGTTCTAAACTAATCCGAGGTGGTAAAATTATTGAAGATATATGTTGATTAGGTGCCATAAATTTTCTAATAATATCTTCCCAAAGATTTGTTTCTAGAAGATCTTTATACGGTAAAACGTATTTCATAATTTCGTCACCAGGAATTTGAAAATAACGAATATGGAGTAAACAATTTTTTAAAGTAGTCTTCAAAATCATAAAATCTTTTCGAGTCCAATTTTCAGGTACGGGAGATAATTCCGGATTTTGAGCAATTCCCCATTTAATAACACGATTCCAAATCTTTATCTCGTCTGCTTGTAAATCATCACGTTTAATAAGTGAAACAAGTGCATTTTCTTGAAGAGAAGTAAAATCATCAGAATCAAAAATATGATTCGGATATTTTGCTATAGTGCTAGTACACCATTTTTGTAATTCCAATAAATTGTTATTCTGAAAGCTTAATTTATAAATCTTTGCAAAATGTAGACGTAGCCAATGATCTTTAAATTTAATCAAATTGGTTTCAAGGTGATGTACCAATTCATCGAGAAGTAATTCATAAGCAACTAACATAAGGTCAAAAATGAATGATTCATCAAGATTCCCTAAAGAGACTACTCCTCCATATATAAACCTTAATAAAGTTTAATAAAGTTTAATAAAAGTTGGTTATTTTTGTAAGATAAATTACAAATAAAAATATCTCAGGACTTACTTAATAATAATTTCGAATTGTTGAACAGAAATATGTGGTTTTAATCTAATTCTTGTAATATTATTCTTTTTTTTAGTAGCATTTTCCAATTCATTACAAAAATATGTAGATCTATACTTCAAAACAATGGAGTGTGCTCTAAATTCCTTAGCGTCTAAAGAATTGCCTGCTTCAATTATCACATTATAATCTTCTTCACTTTCAAGGAGTTTAATGTAATTATCGGAAAGTCTTTCAAGAAACTTGGATGCCATTTATTAATATGTCAAAGTCTTATAGATAGTAGATCATACGTACGTTATAAAGGTTAAGAGATATGTCACACAATCCGTACTTTTTATTTTTGATCTTTCTAGAGAAGGTTGAAAATTTATCCGAGTGAAAATTAATGTCGATCGAATTTAAGATTACTGGATTTGAACCAATTGCCCGGGTAAGTATACATTTATGGTCAAGCCCCGTTTCTCACCCCTGCACGATATATTTAAATCTAGAAAAGATATCGATAATCTGATTAATTATTTTCCTAGTATGGCTAACAAAAAAAAATCATGCATATCGATACGTATGGCTGTGAAAGAGACTGAGCCACAGATATTATAACATTTCACGAACTAGTATCCCTCTAAAAAAAAAAAATCACTTCACTTTATCTTATTATATAAGGTAGCTGCGCGACGCTGTCACGCGAAACCAGGAACGTAAATTTATGAATTACCGTATAATATGGATATGGTGTAAAAATACCTAAAACATCCAATCTTGCTACTCATAAAGTAGAGGGAGGTATTTTGGCGAATTTAAATTTTATCAAAATTCACTGATAGTAAAACTATATTAAAAAATATTAAAATTACAATTTTTATTGTAATATAATATAATCATATATCTATTTAATTCTAAAATAAATAAAAAAATCAAGTCGACTTGTGTTTGCCCAACTTTTATTAGTGCGTAGTAACTCTGATTGTCGAGAGGGTAAAGTGGCGGATCGACGGATTAAATATATTAATAAATAGCCAATCAGAATCTAAAATTATTAAGATCGGTATTTACAGATTTATTATTAATCTTTTTTTTACCATTTTGTTTTTTTGCTTCCTTTTTACGAGTAGCCTCTTCTTTTTTTTGTTTTGCGGCTTCAACCTTCTTTTTTGCTAATTCATCAGCTTCTTTTAATTCTTGTAACGATTCTTCATTAGTAAGAAGCCGAGCGAATGGTAAGGTTTTTCTTTTCTTTTGTGGTTGAGCAGAAGCATCTCCAGCCTCTGATTCAGAGTTTTTGGAAGTCGGAAAGGATATTTGAGAATATGCTTAAGTGAACAAGTACCAGGCTTTTTAAAGGGCTTTGGTTCATAGATCATGTCGTTCTTTCTGTTTTTGCTAAGCCTCATCGATCTGTTCTATTGCATTCTGATGTGTTGTGAGTAGATCATTGTCGATCTCATATAAGTGCTGTATAATAGTCCCATTCAATAGGTCTTTTGCACTAGGATGTAATGGTAGCTGGGCTGATCTACCATATACCAAGTAAAAGGGCATTTCGCAGGTTGTGGCTTGCTTTGCTGTACAATACACAAAAAGTATCGTTAGAATTATTAAGTCCAAATTGGTCACATTCATTACCAGTCATGCAATGGAGTTGCATAGGGTTTTGTTGAAACATTCAACAAGCCCATTTGTTTGTGGGTAGTAGGGGGTGGAGCAGTGGTGCTTAGTGTTTACAGCTGCGAGTAATTCATTTACAATGTGATTGTTGAAATGCGATCCTAATCTGTTAATATTATACTGGACAACCATGTCTGCAGATAATTTTGTCATAGATGAACTTGGCCACCTCCTGTGTGTTAGCCTTTGAATTGCATGAGCCTCAGGCCATCTAGTCATATAGTTAGTAGCAACAACTATATATTTGTTAGAGCACAGCATTATTGGTAAGAGACTGACTATATCAAGGCCTACTATATGGAATGGGGCTTTCACATATGTATGAAGTAGTTTTTTTGATTTTTTATTCCTATGGAGTTGGCAGCTTTCACAGGTTTTGACATACTCGCATATATTACTATATATTTGAAGCCAAAAATAGTAGTTCCAAATTTTATTGAACTTCGATTCTTTTCAAAATGTGCCCCTATTGGATGGTTATGAGCTAGGCCTAGTACAGTTTTGAGCTTCCCTTCTTGCAAAACTTTTATTGAGTTTAGCTAGGTCTTTCTATTTTTCTTGTATATAGTAATTTGTATAAATTTTCTTTTCGTAGCTTTTGGATCCCTTGTTTAGTAGTATTTTCACTATAGTACTTTCTGTTTTATTTTTCCTTTAATTAATTAGTTAATTTTTCTGGTCAGTTTTCAAGAGTAGATTCACATTCTTTGTACTGAATGATTTTTGGGTCAAAGGGTAGCTTTCTGAACCTTCAAATCTTCATTTTGGCAGTTTGAATTAATCTTAATTGGTTAGTATTCTTTTTGTTTCTGTGATAGCTTGCTAATTTTTTTTTTTTAAATTGGGTCTTAAGGTTCTTGCTGCATAAGTAGTTTATAGGTTTTCTTTTGAATGGGCCCCACAACTTGCCCCATTTCATCCTGACCATTCTTACTCTAATGTCAGGTCTGTTTGACAAACTAAAAAAAAGTTATATATATTGTATAATTCCATAGACCCACAGGTTTGTATAATTATATGTTAAGCTTCCAAATCGAATGTTCCTTTGAATACCCAAGAACTAAGGAAGATAAGTATTAAAATTCTAGGCTTTCTCTTTTTTTTTTTCTAAGTTTCTCTTTCTCTTTTTTTTTTTTCTAAGTTTTTCTTTTTCTTTTTTTTTTTTCTAAGTTTTTTTCTTTTTTTTTTTTTTTTTTAAGTTTTGGATTTTTAACTTTTGGTCCTGATTAATTCTTTGTAAATTGACTTTGTATAAGACTACTCTTACTAGAAGCCATTGTAGTTCTAATTAATATACTTATCAAACTTCAGAGACCATTTTGGATCTTCTAGGTTAGTAGTGAATTTGGGTAATATCTTCTCATTTTCATTAGTATTCTACCAACAGTGGTTAGAATCTAGGTACAGGTTATAATAGCCATAGCCCATATTCTCATATTTATCATTACTGCTATCTTCAAATTCCATTCCTTTAGCAGTTTCTCTCTATTGAGATATATCAATTAGATAGGTTTTTTTGAAGTCTATAGGTTGTGGGTCATTTTTAGGCTGATTATTGATATGTTCATTGTTGTATCCATTTTTTACTGACCAGATTATATCAATTCTGAATTCCAAGGCTAATTCAGTTAGAAGATCCTGAATATATCTTTTGCACTCTATTTTTTGGGTGGTGAGCTCTTCATACTCTGGTTCGGTATTAGTGCTTTCTGTTTTTCACTATCATATTCTCATTTACTCCATTTATAAGTATTGTCTCAAAAAATCATTTCTATTTCTTTGTCAGAGTCTTCAGTAAAGTATTCTTGACAATTGCCCTAAATACTTCTACTTCCTCCACTATTTTAGCTATATTTATTGAAACTTTTTGGGAAGATTCGTTCTAGTTTACTTTTGTGGTATTTTTTTTATTTGTTATTCTATTATAATGGCTAATTGTCTTAATTTATTCTTTTTTTTTTTTTTTGGGTTCTTCAACTATTCTTGACACTATATCGGCACTGTTATGTACTTATCCTGGCCTATGTACTATGTTAAAGTTATAAGGTTGTAGGTGGAGAATCTATCATACTTTTCTTTCTTTAGGAGCTATATTGTGTAGTTATTTTAGGGCTGAATTTATAATAACTATAAAGGGCTTGTATCCAAGGTAGTGGTAGAAATACTCAACAGCCTATACCACTGCATAACATTCAAGTTTTGTGGCTACATAGTTTCTTTCAGGTTGGGTAAGGTCTTTACTTGTATATACAATTGCGTATTCTTTCTTCTTTTTATCTCTTTGAGATAGCACTGCTTTAAGTCCAGTGCCAAACATGTCTGTGTAGAGATAAAATATTTTTTTGAAGTCAGAGTACCTTAAAACTGGGGCAGTAGTTAAGCATAATTTAAGGGCTTGAAAGGCTTTATTTTGCTCTGGGCCCTACTCATACTTTGTTTTCTTTTCTAAGAGTTTATATAAGGGGTTTGCTATAGTTGTAAAGCTGTTTATATAGTGCTAGTAGTATGAGGCAAGACCAATAAAGTCTCTTAATTGCCTCAAGTTGGTTGGTATAAGATAATTTTTGACCTTGGCTATTTTTTCATTATCTAGCTTAATACCTTCTTTTCCTACTATGTAATCTAAGAACCTAATATTTTTCTTAAATAATTCACATTTTTCTGGGTTTAATTTTAACCCAGCTACTTCTAGTTTTGCAAGAACTTATATTAGGTGCAAAAATGTTTCTGGTAGATTTTTGAGTATATCATGATGTCATCTAGATAGGCAGCTATGAATTTACCAATATAGTCTTGGAAGATACTGTCCATAGCCCTTTGGAATGTTGTTAAGGCATTACATAGCCCAAAGCAGTATTGTATATAGGACAATTTTAGACATTTTTTCAAATTAAAATTGCTCAAAATTTTATTAAGATAATCTATCTTAATTTTTTTATCAATAAGTCTAGTATCTAAAAAAATATATAATTATATATTTTTTTAAATTACTTTATTAATTAGTTAAATATGATACATAGACTTGGATGATTTGGACAATTTTAGACATTAAACATTTTATATAGTGTGGACACGTCCCATGTACAACACTGGCCCAAAGGGCATAACTCGGAAGGTATAAGTCCCTGCTTTGTTACAAAAGCAGTTTTTTCTTGGTCTTCAGGTTTTATTCGAATTTGCTACTACTTACTGGCAAGATCTAAGAATAAAAACCATCTGGACTTCCGAAAAGTTTTCAGTAAATTAACGATTTGTAGTAGAGGACAAACATCTTTTTTTGTAATTGTGTTTAGCTTTTTATAATTGATGCATAGCTATAATTTTCTATTTTTCTTTGGCACTATTACAACAGGTGAGGCCCATGGGCTTTTAACTTCGTAGATAAGCTCATTTTTTAGTAATTTTTCAACTTCTCTATTTAAGAAGTCTTGGGCATCAAGTGCAATTTGGTAGGCAAATTGCTTATTAAACTTAGCACCACTAGTGTTTATTTTATGTTATATATCTTGGTACTGGCCCAACTAATGTAGACCTAGAGCAAGGAGTTTTTGAAACCTTTCTAGAATACAGATTGCATTTTCTTTTTGTTTTTTGTTTAGTACTTTAGTTTGTACTAGTGTATTAATGGTTTCCTTTAAAGTTAGTTCAGGTTAGTTATCTTTTTCAGGGTTGAAATTTCTTCTATTGCAGTTAGGTATATAGCTGGTTATCCATAGTTAATAAGTCATAGGTAGGCTCATCATCTGTATAATAATTTTCCATATTATCTTCTTCTTCATATTAATTAAAGAAATCTTTTTCTTCTTCAATGACCTTAGGTATGTCTACTTAGCCTAATAAATATGCACCTCAATATTTTTGCCCAAATACTGAAGAATTAGTTTCTTTTTGTCAAAATAAAGGCAGATATGAACTTTTTGGAACCAGTCTATCTCTAGCAGTATTATTTCTTCAGGGTTTTCTATAACTTGAAAGTTAATAGGTATAAGTATATCTGTACTGCTAGTTTTACTCCTAATTTTTCTAGAGTTCACTCCTGGGCCCCATTAGCTATAATTACGATGGTATTAGATTGTTCTGTAATAGTGAGTCTTAATTTTCTGGCTAGTTTTATAGAAATAATACTAACTTCAGCCCCAGAATCTAGGATGGTTAGAATTAGATTATTTTGGATCCTGGTATAACATTTAGCTGCCGTAGTTTGTTGAATAATTTTGTTTTTAGTATATTTAGTGGGTTTTATCATAGTTAAAATTGGGCACCTTAATCTTAGGCTAAATTCTGCCTTTGCTTTGAAACTAGAAGCAATGAGCATATGTAGCATTTGATCATTGTTCTAAAATATCTGTTGCAATATGTATTGTATTGTAGGGTTAGATTCACTTGTGAAGGTGCTTTTTAGTATCTGACTCGATTGTTAGCTTCTGGCAGAGGCTGGGCTGTAATCTGTATAGGTGCTAAAATAATTTTTTCCATGGTAGTGGGTAATGAAGATTGTTTTGTTGGATTGGATTCATAAACAACCCTTTTTCAGAGTCACTCATTTTATTGAGTCTTATTTTGGGCTTTTTATATCATTAATAGTGTAAGCTTCTTTTTTGGGGCTATAATCATAAATGTCATATAGGCTGGCATTCCTGGTACATACTGAAGGCCTTTGGAAGTTTACATGAGACTGCCAGGGACTTGAGCATAGTTCAAAAATACAATTTCAGGCTATATATTCCCTTTCTTCACAATTGTAGTATTCTATACTTTCATTTCTGGGGGGCCAGGGTTGGTAATATTGGTGTTGGGGCTGGTGAGGCCTAATTTCAGCTCTGGCTGCCAAAGTAGTTAATAATTGTTCATAATTGGTAGCCATATGCTGTATTTTTTTGTTAAGTCATTGATGAGTTTATAAATAGGCCCTTTATTACCATTGTCTTTATAATAATTGCCAGCTTTGATTTTTTAGTCTTTGCAATTACTTTATCTAAGGTCTCAAGCTTGTTAGCATATATAAAAGCAGTGTTTTGCCATGGAGGCCTCCTATGAACATGCAGACTATATAAGCAGTAGGTATTTGTTGATCTTAATCTACTTATTTTAGCAGTTTTTTGAATTGATAGGTATATTGATCTACCTTTTTATTTTCTTTTTGTTTCAAAGAGATTAACTCTAGCTGCCATTGGTGCTTTTGCTCTAGAGTGGCAAAATATTTGATGAAAGCTTGAATGAAGCTGTTATTAGAGTTGGCTTTGTCATCCCAAAAAAGGTCTTTCTTTTGTTATTATACTAACTTGCAGCAATTCTTGACAAGTGGCCGGAGGCAATTCTAATTTTTCTTGCCCTACTCTAATTATTAGCATCTCTACTTTTTTGAAAGTTTCGATCCACCTAACTGGATCTTCATCTTCTTTACCCTTAAAGTACTTATGTGCACCCAATTATTTTTGTGTAGAATAGAAAGAACATCATGAATAGTGATTTCCCTAAATGCCCTAACTATTTCCCTTAGAATGTTTTGAGCAGTATCGTGTTTGGCTAGTTGATTTTGGCACACTGGTAGATTATCATAGTTAACAGGTTCTTTAATAATTCTTTAATTGTCTTTAAAATAATTCAGGTCTGATATTTTCAATATTTAATTTGAAAAAGATTTGTTTTGGTGGTGAATTTGGCTTTTTTTTTTTTTTTGACTTAGAAAGTTCAATCTCACAGTCACCACAAATTAAAAGGTGTAACTAATAACCTAAATTGTAAAACTACTCTAAGAACTATCTACGACTCTGGAAATCAATATAATCCACTAATTCAATACTTTAACAATAGAGTTCACAAATAGAAACTTCTAGGACTTTGGATTAGAAAGCTTCAAAAAGAGGTATGGATAGACTTGGTCCAAGTTCCAAAGTCTTTTGGATCTTTATCTAGGATTAGATAAATTTTTTGTATCTTTTTAATATTCAATTGTTTTAATTGTATCATTTATTCTAACTCTTATGCTTCTGTTTCTTTGCTTAGAATGTTTTTGGTCTTTTTGGTTACATGTTACGTCACTTGAATGGCTACAATGATCAAAATTTAATATGCAATTTAATCTAATATCTATATTATAGGTAAATCTATCAGAATTCAGATCTTTAATTAGCTGGTGATGTTATGAGAAGCTGATGTTATAGAATTTAATTGATTGATACAATTAATGTATAATAATGCTAGATTACTAATTTGATTGTTATACTGATTAGTAATAACAATATGTTACAAGGAAGTTTAAGTATTATCTATTTAAGAGTATAAAATATGAATTTGGGTGCTTTGAATTTTATTAATTGATTTAACACTTTAGGTATTATTAGGTTACAGGTAATTTAGGTTCAGAGATTATAGTGATTTTGGGTCAAACAGAAAGTTTATTAAGGGAACCACTTATATTAAAGTGAGACCAATTTAATTCAGTGGTTTATATTACATCCTACTTACAAAAAAAGAGGGGAGGGGGCTGGAGAGAGTTTATTATAAATTTTTTCTCTGAAATAATCCACAATATTATAAAAATTTTTTGAAATTTTCTGTGTATATAGTGAGGGGGTAATGTAAACCACAGAATCAAATTGGTCTCACCTTATAATGATTTCGAAGTTTTTGAGGTTTTAGAACTCTATTGAGTTATCTTTTATTTAAAGGTGAGCAAAGAGCTTTTATATAGATAAAATTACAAGCTAAGAAAAGATAAAATAAAGACAATTTTATCTTTTGTATTCTTTTTATTTATTTTATCATTTTTATTATTTTTGTCTTTTTTATTCTCATCCCACCTTTGACTAGCTATATAAGGCAATTATTGCTGGAAATGGAAAAAAAATAAAAAAATAATAAAAATGAAAATGGCACAGCCCAATTTCAGGGTGGTGCTGCACCTAGTTTGCCCATAACAATGTACTGTACACTAAATTTTTTGCTGATTGCTTGATCCAGCCAATCAGATGCCAGAAAAGAACTATATGTACAGTACATACTGTATACTAAACTTTTTCAGGTATCATATAAATGGCACATTACTAGCCATGACTTAAAAAAGCAATTCAGTTGCAGTTAATGCTGAACTATAGTTAAAAGCTGCAACTCCAAGTTATAGCTTAAGCTTTAGCTAATTTGATTTGGTCAGCTTGGCTCCATTATGCAGATAAAACTAGTTCGATAAGCCATTAACCTCCGAAGGCTATTCGAAAGACAGCTGGCAATAATTTATATTTGGTTAGTTCAATTTCGAAGTACAATATAATAATAATAGTAAAATATACAATTTTATAATGATAAATAATTGACATT